GAAAACCCTTTTAGCACAAACTTGCATACCCAGATGAACTTACATGTATGCCATGTCGTATTAGGGTTATTTGATGTACTGGTTAAAAACCCATCAATCAACAGGTCAAATGTTCGAGAAACATCATACGTATTTCTGTCATATTAAAAAGAAAAACAAGATACGGTTATACGTATTCGACGCATATATAATTCCACGGTTGCGAATATTAAGAGTAGCTGAGGCTATACTGACCGAAAAAACTGCATCTTTACAAAATTCATACCGATTCTATCGACTAAAACCGATATTAAAAAATTAATTAAAAAAGGATGATGTTAAATGGGGTATGGAAAAAAGAAAAGAAATGAGTGCAAAAGTTGTGAAATCTACTTTAGAATTGATTAGGTGCAAAAGTAGAGTTTTGCATGTGCGCCATCATGCACTCTTATGCTTTATTTTGACTTAAGTGCAAGATTCTTCATTGGACCCTTGTCCTCAATTCTAATTCCAATTCCAATTTTAATTTCTATACTTTATTATAAATTATTTGATAAAAATTCTTAAAAACTATTTTTTATATATGAAGTATTGTTTGTTAATGTATATTACTTAAAATTTAAGATTACAAATAAATTGTGCGTAAGTATAACTTATTAAAGATTCATTTTTGAATTCGTATAACTAACCGTAGATAAACATAATCAAATACAAGATGAACGTCTCATTTTAAATATAAAAAATTTAAAATATAATTAAGATAATCATTGAGTTCTAACGAAATCATTATCTTTATAAAAATTATAAAAGCCAAAATAAATTATTTCGTTATTAGACCTAAATTAAATTATAATAAAAAATTGAATTAAATAAATTGTACAAAAAATGAGAAATTTTAAATTGTTAATTTATATATATCTGCATTACACGGATACCCTTCTAGTATCTATCAATAATATTCACATCCTTAAATTCTTACTTTCATTTTTATACTTTTTGGCTATTTCTAAATTCCCCCCACCAACTTTTTTCTATCAAAAACAATGATTGACAAGATCAATACCCATTTATATATCTTTAACATTCGTTTAAAAGTATATTCATTAAAATGATTTATAAGAATATCTTCAACAACTATGTTATAATTTTTCTAAAAATAAGGTATTAAGAATGATCGATACCAGTGAATTATCACAATTTTAGAAAATGGAATTCTGAGTTGATTTCATATCTTGTATTCAGATTGAATATATGTTTTGAACGATATTACGAACATAATTATTAACAATTATCTAATTGTACGTTTACTTTAAATAATATATGATTCGTATACTGATCTTTTTTATGGATAAAACATCCATGACGTATATAGTTTCTTACAGTAAGTTATTAACAAGTGATATACGTTTTAAATATCGTATATCTTTGAATATTCAGTTTTGATACAGATATATTAAAATATATCGTTAAATAAAATTTATACATGCTTAAAGTTAACTATATATTTTTTGTCTTTTTTCGAATAAAAAAATAAGAGGTTTTTCTAATTTAAAAAATGTTATTGTAAACGCCTGTTTAATCACATCAATTAGATCATTTAAGGGGTTGTTTGTTTACCTCATAATAGTTCTATTAAGAGACAAGTGCTCTAAATCGTTAAAAGATTAATCTTGTTTGACAAAAAAAAAAAAATATGTCTCTTAATTATTCTAAAACTCTCTGAATGATTTTGTATCATGGACCTCCCTTAACCATTGAGCGCTTTAATTTCATTGTAAACAATTAGCAAACAATTATATTTCATTTTGCATTATGTCATGAGAGTCTTTTAATTATTTTGTTCACTTAATCATTCTGCACCAAACCATTTAGCAACTACCAAACAGCTCATAGCCTAACAATTGATAAAATGTTTTCTATTTCTTCATTTATTCAAAATTTTCCCTTGAACCTCAGTGCATGCGCACGCACGCACGCACACACATATAGATGGTTTCATTTACAAACTCAACCATTAGTATAAACCATACAAACCAACCAATTCAATATTTATATAAATGTTCAAGGTCCATTTATTTAGATCTAAATATTTATGGATATTTATTAGTTGTCATTTATTATTAATCAATCTTTTATATTAAAAAACAACAAAAATATTTATTGAACCAGATATTTATTAAACTAAATGAACGGTTGAGATCCATTTCACAAATTTTGTATAAATATGGAAGTTTGTCAATAATCGGTGATATATTCGTAATTTTTAAAAATATTTGTGACGCGTTAATCCATAATTCATTTGACACGTAAATCGATGATTATATATGACACTTATTTAAAATAATTAGGCGCACGGGGTAAATATTTTACCCCTTCCATTGCTTTTGAAGAAATTTCATGGCGGCAGCCATGGAAGCACAGCTGTTAGGAAGAAGAAGAAGAAGAAGATGGAAGCATGTTCCCGATAAAATAGCAACGAATTCATACCTAAGAGATGAAGAAATCACACAACAACAATGTTTATTTATGAAATTTGAAATTGGAGGATCAAAAAAGTAACATTAGATCCTAATTTTTCTCAAATCTGTGGTTTCAAACACTGGTAGTTCTTGCCCGTAAGCACCAGTTCCTACACCGCCAACAATCTCAAGCTCAAACAGATCATCTTCATCTTCATCATCGTCGTCAACATTAACCAAAAAGTTTTTGTACTTGTTCATGTAAGTCTTCTCTGTGAACCATTGTCTCTGATCATACTTTGGGAGTACTGGCATCAAGCGTGGATCACGTTCATGGATGGATTTTGAATCGAGAATCACGGTGTCGTGTTCAGGATAGAATCTAACGGACCTTTTTATGCCGCTATTATGTTGTTTTTTGCTCATACATGACCTTGAAAACGAAGAGCAGGTCGTCGTTGTATCCTGTTTAATAGATCGTGATTTCTTCAAGGATCTCAAGTTTTGCATGGTTTCTTCGATTTTAGCTTTCTTTGAAGAAGATGAAGCGAAGAGTGAGTAGAGAAATGCAGAAATCCGACTGCCTGGTGAGATCGGCTGTTTCACCTTCTTCAGATCGCCATAGATCTTCATAGCTCGTAGCTTCGTGGATTTGATGAATTTTGCTTCGTGCTTCGTCGAGCTCGATTTTTGAGTATCATCGAGAAACACAGCTTCTGCGGTTTTACGAGATATCGTGAACGAGTTCGGTAAGGATCTGTAAGTTGACGGAGTTTCTGTTTCGGATGACGTCGATGAAGTTGTAAACGTCGTCGTTCCACTACTGCTTGAATCCGAACTGAACTTTCTAGGACTCTTTCGAGAAACGTAGCCATTACGATTGCTGTTGCTGTTGCTGTTGTTGTTGTTGTTGTGAGTCTCCATCCATTGATCGATCATAATCGCTCGTCGGAGACTCGGCATCTGTTCTTCTCCGTTAATCAAATCTGTTTGTTGAAAACGAATTTTGCTGCTCCGCTTTGATTCAGAAGCAAAACACATAAGATCGTGATCATGATTATCGTTATTATCATGATCATGAACTTGGTGGTGTAAGTTTTCTTCATGTAATCCTCCGTCGTTGGTTTCGTCAATGGAGCGGAGAATGGAGTCGAGAAGGGAGGATGAGAAAGAGGGTGTTTTCCTCCGATGTGGCGGCGGTGGCTGTGGTTGATACCTGAAATTCCTCTCCGGCAAATTCATCTGCCAACTGATTTCTCACAGGTACGCTTTCCGTTTGATGAATTGATGTGAGTGAGTGTTGATAACAATATATAGAAGCAACTAAAACATGAACAGAAATGGTGGGTAGGAGAGATTTGCAGAAGGGATTGAATGAGAGAGAGAGAGAGAGATGATTGATGCTTTAATGGTGGGTGCAGTGGGTAAGAGAGAGATGAAAAGCCAAATGGAGCGGCTTCGATTTTGGGGATGATGGTTAAGGGGGAAAAGGGAAGGAGGGATATATAGTGGAGAAGCAACAAGCGTGGGGTGGGGTGATTTCTGAGCAACATCAAAAGTCGAAATTGTTGAGACAAATATTGCTGTCACCATTTAAAGAATCTCTGCTTCTCTTCCTTATTCTTTACCACTCTAAACTATGTTGTCCAATTGTTTCGAGTTTCTGCTAAATAGTTCAAAAAATGTCTCAAGAACCTATGTTTGAATCCAAGTAATAATAAAAACCCTCTTGTGATCCGAATTACTCACGAAACGAAACAAATGGTCGTCCTAGAATTAGTCGGGTTAGATGTTCAGGTTAATAAAAAAAACCTAAATATTATAAACAATATACATGTACATATACATATACATATACATATCAATTATAAACAGTATACATATACATACACATATACATATTGATAAGGTTGAGATACATGTGAAATCAGTTTGTTTCTATGAGATCCATGAGACAACAAAATAAACTGAAATTCCACAGTAAAATGTTGTGAAGGTACGAAAAACGTCGAACATTTATAGCAAAAACACTAAATATTTACTACGAATGTTTAGTCGTGTTATTTATTTGGTCTCACGAAAACAATCTGATCTCATATGATCCTAAGTCTACACACATATATCAACAATATATAATTTTACAATAGCATCTCCAATGGACTCTCTTCATCGTCTCTTTGATTATTGTAGGGTGCAAAAAATGAAATAACGGACTCCCTCCATTAATTTCTATTATCTTGCTCCATGTATGTAATGAGCTTCCCACAAATATTCTATATTATTTTATTGGACAAATTGCATGAAAAAATAATATACTTTAATTTGATTTATATTTTAGGAATCGTATTTTTCAAAACTTTCATTTTGGTACCTAAGATGTAAAGTTTTGAACCATTAACTGGTTACTATGCTGATGTGGTATCCAACTCAGTATGATTTACCGAAGCATTAACCGGATACCACATCACTCGTCACATCAATATGGTAACCGGTTTATACTTCAACCGGTTACCCGGATACTTAAATAACTTTACATCTTATGTACCAAAATGGAAGTTCTGAAAGTACGTTATCTAAAATAGGAATCAAGTTAAAATACGTTACTTTTTCATGCAACTTACCCTATTTTATTATATAGATATGTGCATCATGTCATTTGTATATTTTGTTTTAATGAAAAAGCAAAAAAAAAATATTAAACCGATATATATTTGTTAATGTAGAGTAACATGATTAGAATAAGTCAAAGACCTTCCAGCCTAGTGGTAAAGGCTTGGGTATGACATAGTCATGAACCCGAGTTCGAGCCCTGGGAGGGGAGTGATGGCGACATTTAAGTGGGGCCATGTTTAGCCTCCAAATTTGCCGGGGATTAGTCGGGTTTTGGCCCGGACACCCTTACAAAAAAAAACATGATTAGAATAACAATGTATAATTTTTGTCACTCACATTAATCTCAATGCATTTATCTTATATTAGCTTAAATATAGGAAGTAATATTAGAGATGCATTAAAACAAATGTATCTTGTAAGGGAAGGTAAAATGTATATAGAGCTGACCACTAAACCAAATCATATAACCATTGTTTTCATGATACTATAACTCCCCAAGCCAAAAGCAGTAATTGGCTGAATAACAGTCAAATCAGCTTAAAATACGATAAAAGTTATCAGTATCTTACAACTTTAAACTTACAAGAAGCTTATAAATCTATTTTTTTATCCGTGTAGAACAAGTTGTCACAACTTCTCCATTTAAAATTACTAACTTCCTCATCAGACCATTTAGAATCGTTGATCCTTGTAATCGACAACATGGGATTTGCCTAAGATACTTTTAAGTACCTCCCTCCTCCCCATTCGAGGACTCATCATACTCAATGAGGTTTGTCTCTGCGTCCTAATGGTACAAAGATCGACTACAATACCATTTGTAACATTTCAAGCCCCAAACAACATATTGATCCAATAACCTCCAAAACACCTTAAAACCATGATGAAAGTTATTAGCGATGTTCTAAACATCGGTTTAAACATCTATTACACTAATGGAAATAAAACAACTACAATTTCTTTAAATAAGATCTAAGACAAACTTCATCGTATTTTGATACATTTTGACATTTTAAAATATAATGAAAATCTAAGAAACCATGAATGATTAATTAAAAAAGATTGTGGGTCATTTGGGGAAGTGAGAATGCAAAGAAGTTGTAAAGTGTGCATTGGTAATGGTACATTTATAGATGCCAGCAAGTGTGATTTAATAGTCAAGTACAGAAGTTATGATGAAGTGGGGTGGTAGAAAGGCAAAGGCAAAGCCAAAGCCAAAGCGTAAGCGTGGCATCTACTAAGACTCTTCCAACTCCAACCCAAAAGGTATCATGCCATATAACTCATCACTCCAAACCCTCTTTCATGTACCTTGCCTTTTCGCATATACAAGGATGTTGCATCCTCAATTTATTTTAAGTTAAATTAAATCAATACACATTTTTTAGTTTCTATCTTATACATTTGGGGGTTGTTTATCATTTGTTTATTGTGTAAGTGCTTATTCGGTGTCATTCGCTTTACCAGACGAGTATGATGATGACCGGAAATCTTACCCGGTAGAAAGCATAACAAGAACTGAGAAGTTTAACCGGTAAATGAGGGATAAGACTCTTACTCGCTTACTGGGTAAGAGATGCTTACAAATAATTTTATTTGATGGTCGGAAATGTTATCTGATAACGTAAGTGAAGGTGGTGACTCTTGTCAGTAAGCACTTACCGGTAAACATTTGATAAACGACCTTAATTTGATTGATTTATATGAGTGTTGTTGTTAAATGAAAATTTTGTTGTCCTAAAATTCTCTCTTCTCTAAATCCCACCAATCATGTCAATACACATCAGAGTTTTATTTAATATAACTTTATCTAATTCATGTTCACATCTCTCATTGTATCTATGTGATTGATGGACATGGATGAGAGTTGGATTTTGAATATTCACGGTTGTTTGGACTCTTTTTAGGTTAATTCAGAACATAAAAAGTGTAAAAATAAAAATTTATGTTAATCTCTCTCTCTCTCTCTCTCTCTCTCTATATATATATATATAATTGGGATCACGTGAGAACAGTTTGTATTCGTGAGACCCGTGATACCACTTTTTTACACTTGAAACTTCACAGCAAAACCTGTAAAGGATCGGCTATTTTTTAGCTTCACAACATTCTGCTGTGAAGTTTCAAGTGTAAAAAAACAGTCTCACATGTCTCACAAAAACAGGTTGGTCTCACGTGAACCCAAATATATATATATATATATATATATATATATATATGGGAACGTTCAAATGAAAACCACTCAATTTGTAAAAACCGTAAAAACATCATTCAATCAATCATAATTTTTCATTTTGTTCATTTTTTTGTAATTATGAGAGGTTTATTAATCATTTTTATTGTGGAGAGTGTTAATCATGGATATTATCATCTTCATTATTTTAATTTTAAAGAAATACATGAAACAGTTTCATTAAAATTTCATTAAGTAGTATATGAAACAATTTCATAACCATATATGAAACAAATTCATCAAAAAAAAGTATTATATGAAACAATTTCACAAGATTAAACAATTTCATGAAAAAATTTCATAAGATTAAACAATGAAATCGACGGATGAGAGTGGTTTGCAAGGTTTTTACAAATTAGAGTGGTTTTCATTTGATCGCTCCTCTATATATATATAGGGGTGGGTTCAAATAAAAACCACTCAATTTATAAAAACCGTGAAAACCTCATTCAACCAATCATAATTTTTCATTTTGTTCATTTTTTTGTAATTATGAGAGGTTGATTAACCATTTTTATTGTGGAGGGTGTTAATCATGGATATTATCATCTTAATTATTTTAATTTTAGAGAAATACATGAAACAATTTCATTAAGTAGTATATGGAACAATTTCATTAAGTAGTATATGGAACAATTTCATAACCACATATGAAACAACTTCATCAAAAAAAGTATTATATGAAACAATTTCATAACCACATATGAAACAACTTCATCAAAAAAAGTATTATATGAAACAACTTCATCAAAAAAAGTATTATATGAAACAATTTCACAAGATTAACAATTTCATGAAAATTTTCATAAGATTAACGACGAATGAGAGTAGTTTTTACAGTTTTTACAAATTTGAGTATTTTCATTTGATCGCTCCTCTCTCTCTCTCTCTCTCTCTCTATATATATATATATATATATATATATATAATGGTTTTTTTTAGAATCGCCTTATTCGTTTTCATGATACCTTAAAAGGTCAAAATTCCCTTCCATGTGACAAAAATAGATTTTGTTTGTGTGATTAAATTGTTTACATATAGTTTATGAAATAAAGAGGTGGGTTAAATGCACTCATATCAATGAACCATCCAGGTTTTGGGACATATCAGATTGATGATCAATCCATGTCTACAATATGTTGAAGTTGAATGTTAATTGTGTTGTTTACCGTTAGTTATACTATTTATTTGTCAGTTAAGCCTTGGTGCTCCTTTCAATAGGTTGTGAGTCCATGTCTTCTACCTACTAGGCCTTGGTGCTCCTTTCCATTCAGTTCATATCTTCTCAGGTAGAGATGCAAAATGCCCGAATTTTTTTGGACATCGACCTTTAAAGCCCGTTTTCATTAAGTAAAAAAAAAAAAGACTGGTCTTTTTAGGCCTGAACTTTGGTGTTAAAAGAGGACCTGATCAGCCTTTTTAAGCCGGACTTAACCAAGCCGTGGATAAAGAAAGATAGCCTAACCGGGCTTCAAGGCAAGGCTAGGCTTGGGCCTTCTAGAGTTCGACCTTTTTTGTGGGTCTCTACTCTAGTTGTTATCTTTGTTGGAGTCTTGGAGATTTTTCTGGTTGTGGTCCAATAGAATTTGTTATGCCAAAAAAGTCCGAGGTGTCGTTTACCAAACGTTTATTCGGATAAGCGCTTACCAAATCACTTTACTTTACCGGATGAATATGGCAAGGGCTAATAATCTTACCCATTAAGAACGAATACAAGAATCGAAAGTTTTACCGGGTAAGTGAGGACGAGGACTCTTATCATGGTTAGCGCTTACCGGGATAAATTATTGCATACGATGTGTTTTAGTGAATAAAATCTTACTCAATAAGCAAGCGATAGTGTTGAATTTTGCTGGTAAGTACTTACCGGGTAAGTGTTTAGGTAAACGGCCCCTGAGTGGTAGGTGAGATACTGTTTTCCCTTTTTGGGTGGATGCAAACTTCGAAGGTAATAAAAAAACAATGGAAATCAATACACCCACGTCCAGTTAGTATTGGATCATGAATATACGATTTTAACACCAAAAATTTCGGTTTCTTTGCATGTTCGCTCTTGCATTTCATCGGTGAATAAGGTTTATATTCTGTGTGTTTCATAATTACATGGTTTTTTTAAAGGCAGTATATTATAAGAAAACACAGAACAGTAGTACAAAGCAGATACAAAAATTCTCCACCAAAACAAATGGGAGAGGCAATTAATAAAGGGGCCGAAAATGGCTAAAAGCAACAGCTGAACACCCAGAAAATGGACGGACAACGCAAAACAAAGTAGAAAGCCAAGAAACTGCACAAAATCAAAATACCAGATAGAAGACCGAGGCGAAAGCGAGCGAAGAAACCCCAAAGTGCTTATATGGAGAAAGACAACATGTTTGGATTATCGACTCACAACTCCTATTATATGGATTTCTTTTGCAATCTTCTCGAAACCCAATTGAAAGCACGAACTTGCAATAGAACGAATGCTTCAACATATATTGAAGAGAAATAATCCGAGTTTAGACGATATGGAACTTTAACAATATTGACAAATTCTTTTTTTTTAGAAATTATGGGTATCTGGATCAGCTTAGACGCACCGACTAATCTCGGGAAGACCACAAATGGCCTAGAGTCATCGTATGTGAACCTCCATAGCTACAAGGGGGCTTTGGCAGCATCCAAATTTGAACCCAGGGTGATTTCTACTACATCCCCGTACGCCACAATCCAATTGTCGTCCATTTTGTATGGTCTAGTTTAGTCAACATGTTGATGAAGATTATATTTGAAGCTTTGGATTGGTCAAGTTTGGCAAGTAATTTAGTTGAAGTTCCGTTGTCTTCTTTGTTCAACATTCAGCGAGAAAGAAAATGGTGGAAAACTGTCATTTGGTTGTTCGGGAGAAATTACCGCTCGTCATGAACCTGAACCACACGGCTCATACCAATCATGAGCGATGACGATCAAACCCACAATCGATGCAAAATATGCGGATCAACATGATGACAATACAAAATACCATATAAGCATATACCAAGGTTCAGTGGTTATATAAGTCCTTGCAACCAAATAAGCAGGGGTTGCAATGAATGCTTATCGACCGATTACAAAAATATAAAATATAAATGTAAGCAAAAATGATCTCCTACTTTGAATCAATAGAGGGAGAACACCAAAAATGTGTTTGGGGAAATTTGTATTTTTGTTTTCGCTAATTTTGGATTTATCCCAACAGACATGACAAGCGTCTTGCATAAGTGACTTTTGGTCGTCAGCCTAGCTCACCTGGTACCCAAAACAGCCGTACACGACCTCGTCATGCAAGCATAGCTCACCAACCCAAGTCACCCGATCCTTTAAACCGCGACATCAGATCAGTTGTGGGCAAATGTGTAACTAACAAATTATGTATCATAGCTCCCTTGCTATTTTGTGAGCGCCAACATGCGAGCAAGGTGACTTTAGGGAGTAGCAATGGTGGTTCCGGGATGGTTTACTTGCACAAACAGTCAAGAGTTCTAGTCTGGCAGGCATAGCGTTGGAGTTAGAGATGGCTAAAAACTGGTCCTGGGCCGGGCCCAGTTTGGTCCTTGTCTTGGGCCGTGCCGGGCCCATTTTGGCCATCTCCAGTGGGGAGTTCCAATTCGTCTGGGAATTGGGTTCCTTGTGGGCACTGGACTCTTAAGATAGCCACCTAGCATCCCGCTATGTACCTGATTGCCTCTCAGATGATGCTCTTGAGGACAGGACAGTGTGGACCAGCTTGCGGGTTGCTGGTTACAAACCTTTTTCCGCACAAGCATGTGAGCAAGGCTCGCCAGATGCAAGTTGGAGCTACTTGCAACTTGTGACTTCAAGTCGCCAATACCAAGTTGCCGGAAACCCACTGTGTGTCGAGCATCACAAAATTCAACATATTCAAGATCCATCCTTCTGGTTCTTAACAGGGGGTATGACAAATGGAAAACATTCACCAGCTTACATGTTCCTAAAAGCTCCACCTTCAAGAAAATTTGAAGAATCAACCCCCCCAAAAATCTCACTTCTGATTACTCCAAGAAGATTACTGGCATATGCTGAATTTTGAACCTAATTTTGGTTAATCTGTTAAAAGAAATTATGTTGGACTTTATCCTCTTTCTTGTTCATCTTTGCTTCATCGATCGGGTCGGTTTGAATTCAAGAACGCTATAATAAAAATATAAAATCCTTGCAATAAAGGTAGATATCATATGTAAACAGAATGTTAAATCAACTTAACACACCAGGATAATATGGTCAAGTTCGACACTAATCTCCAGCTAACAAAAGCTGACTTCCTCAAAGATAACTTACAGATTTGGTTGTTTCTTGACAACTATTTGTTAAATGCCCAAATTGACCCCACTTCTCATGCTAACCCTTTCAACCACTGCAAGTTGCAGTCTTATTTCCTATTTTCTATGCTAAATGTAGACAAATAATATTCTCTTTGTCAACCTACTATCATTTGTTTATATGATCCACACGTTTAGATAATTATATTGGTTGGTTGAAACTGTTCATGGCTGCGCCTAATATCATTAATCCCTTTGTGTCATAGCCATTGACTTTGTCTAATTATGTGGCTTTAGTATTGAGTTGTTAAAAGCTGATAGAAAGCAGAGAGGGAAAGAAAGAAAAGATTTTGCTTTGAATTGGGTTTTAGGTGCCGAAAGAATAAGTAAACGTGCCCAGTAAATACCACGCAGAGATAGTGTCATAAGATAGTTCATGGAAAGGGAGTCGGATGGTGATGAGGTGATCGTGGTGATTCCGGGTGCTGAAGAAAAGTCGAGTTCCAGTGACCCAAATGAAGAGATTGAAAAAGTAGGATCTGGGTCTTCCTCTTTTTCTAAGTTTCTTCCAATAGATCCTCCACCTGCTGCTATTCAGCTTGTTCAATTAAATCAAGATGCGGGTCTCAGATCAAGGAAAAACGTGCCCTCAGTTCCGAGCTCTTCGGTTGTAGAGATACCAAAGATTAATCCACTTCCATCACAGATCAATGAGGATCCCGTTAACCGAATACCATTGGCACAGTCTCCCTATCCGAAGGCGAAATCAAGACTGGTTGAACCTGCAGTTCCTAGCAATTGGAAGATGGGCAATGATAAAGTGAGTACAACTGCTTCTCCTTCTCAAAAGACACAAACCCCCAAAGTATCCCCTCCAATAACCCCGAGAACACCATTAATCGTGACACCAAAAGAAGAGGACGATGATGAAGATGTATATTATACAAACGCTCTACAAGCTAATCAGAAAGGAAAACCACCTAAGAAATTCAAGGTCCTGTTCTTATTAGAATTCAGTTTGCTTCTGTGCATAACAATAGTTTTAATTCTAAGCAGAACGGTGGATAAAATGACGAGTTGGGAGATTTGGAGGTTACTACTATGGAGATGGTGTGTTTTGGTATTGGCAATTTTCTGTGGTCGTTTGTGTTCCGAATGGTTTACTGATGCTATAGTTTTCTTGATTGAAAGGAAGTTCTTACTTAAAAAGAAAGTTCTATATTTTGTTTATAGCCTGCAAAAGAGCGTTCGGGTTTTTATCTGGTTAGGTTTAATTCTACTAACGTGGGGCCTCTTGATCAACCATGGGGTCCAAAGAACGAGAGACACAACCAAGGTTCTAAACTATATCACAAGGGGGATTGCCTCTACACTCGTTGGTGCTGGTGCATGGATCCTCAAAACTTTGTTTGTAAAGATCTTAGCTTCTTCATTTCATGTTACGGTATTCTTTGACAGGATTCAAGAATCCATCTTCCACCAATACGTTCTTCAAACCCTTTCAGGGCCTCCATTGATGGAGGATTCTGAAAACATGAGTGGTTCTCATTCAACAACAAGACAGTTGAGTTTCAAAAGTGGTACCAAAAATGGGGGAGAAAAAAAGAAGGAAAAGGTTATCAACGTGCAAAAGCTCAAGAAGATGAAACGTGAAAAGGTATCTGCTTGGACAATGAGAGGGTTAATTAAAGTTATAAGAAAGTCGGGGTTTTCTACGCTTTCTGATGCACTTGATGCAAGTGAGGATGCTGCAGAGCAGGATGAGCAAAAGGATGGAACAATCACTAGTGAGTGGGAAGCTCAAAATGCTGGTTATACTATATTCACGAATGTAGCTAAGCACGGGCATAAGTAAGATTAGTCTTAATCATGTTTCTTGATTTTTCAGTCCATTGTTCTTAGTGCTCCTAAGCTTCATCATTGTTATCTAAACCAGGTACATTGAAGAGGATGATCTTTTACGTTTTATGGACGAAGATGATGTGAAGAAAGTGTTTTCATTGTTCCAAGGAGCAGTGGAAACTGGAAAGATTAAGAGGAAGCCCTTTAGTAATTGGGTGGTAATTACTCTGGCAAATCTTTTATCATTGATTTGAAAGAACAATCCTTGCTGTTTAGATCAAGAAAATCTTCTGTTTCCTTGAAATTTCATCTTGGTTTCCAGGTGAATGTGTATAAGGAGCGTAAATTTCTGGCACTTTCTCTAAACGACACTAAAACAGCCATAGAGGAGCTAAACAAGCTTGTTTCTGGGCTTACAGTAATTGTGCTCATAATCGTTTGGTTACTTCTCATGGGGCTTGCAACAACAGAACTTTTGCTCTTTATCTCATCTCAACTATTACTTGGGGTTTTCATGTTTGGGACCTCGGCTAAGTCAGCATTCGAAGCGATAATATTTGTGTTCGTAATGCACCCATTTGACGTTGGTGATCGTTGTGTCATTGATGGTATCCAGGTAACTCACTCACTCTAATCTACTTGCAACGATTTGGTCTCAACTTCTTAACAGAGTTGTTCTACTTTACTCATCCAAATGAGCTTAAATCCTGTAGGTCGTTGTAGAAGAAGTAAATATATTGACAACCGTCTTCTTGAGATATGACAATGAGAAGATTTTCTACCCGAATTCAATCTTGGCTATGAAAGCCATCAGCAATTTCAACCGAAGCCCAGAAATGAGTGATTCAATCGAGTTCGATGTTGATGTTTCCACTTCAGTGGAGAGCATCATAGCTCTAAAAGAGAAAATTAAAGCGTATGTCAACTCCATTTCCCTCTCTCTCCTATTATGGCATTCAATCTAACTTAGATTACTTCAACACCCTTAAAATTGTTGCAACTCTGAGGAATAGATACGTATGTAGTACTTTTAGTCTTAATAAATGGTAGAGTGTCTTAAGGGGCTTTTTGGTTGGTTTTCGATCAAGTCCTGTATGGATGTGGATTGATCTGTCCGTATAGATAAAAAGGTTTTCCATTAAATTGGAGGGGCAGGTTTGGAAATTTTCTGGCTTTATGCATAAAGCTCTCCCCAAAAAGGTTACTGAATAAGCCACTTTCTATATCATTAAGCCACTACCAAACAAGCACGTATAGCTGATCGAATAAGTTGCGAGTCTCGTTAACCTCATTAAGCTGCTGACAAACAGACCCTTATCCTGTGTAGGAAACATGGAATGAAGGTAGATGTTTTGGGGATTGACAATGAGGGCAGGATTTCAGATTTAATTTATCAATTGGAGACCTAATCCACGGTTTGTGATCATGAACATCGCGTTTTGTAGAAAACATTTCTTCGGATTCTTAACGCCAAAACAGGATCAAAATCAACACTAAGTTTCTCGTGTAATTACAGACGAACATTGCGTTTAGTTGAAAATTTTTCTTCAGATTCTTAGCGCCAAAACAAAAACAAAATCAAAATCAACACTAATTTTCTCGTGCAATTGCAGTCGATGAACATTGCGTTTTGTTGAAAAAATTTCTTCAGGTTCTTAGCGCCAAAACAACATCAAAATCAACATTAAATCTCTCGTGCAATTACAGTTTAATTTAGAGGTTAGATTTTGAGTTGCACCTAGTATAGATGTAATCATGTAAATGTGTGATTTAATTTCTCAGGTACATAGATAGCAAACCTCAACTATGGCGTCCAAAGCACAGTGTTAGGGTTAAGGAGATCGAGAACGTGAATAAGATGAAAATGAACCTGTACGTAACGCATACGATCAACTTTCAGAACTACGAAGAGAAAAGTGACAGAAGATCAAACCTTGTTCTGGAGCTGAAGAACATATTCGAAGAACTAGGAATCAAGTATCATCTTCTTCCTCAAGAAGTTGTGATTAGATATGCTGAGTCTGCATCGCCACCGGTCGCCACCTCCTCACGGTTGTCGTGACCGAATCCTGAATACAATATGTTTCTTACTTTCTTTCGTGAGGTTCTTCTGATTTCAATTGGACCATGTAGGATAGACTTGTATATTGCAATCACAATGCTCGGCCATATTCAGTTCAATTTTTATCTATTTCAAATCATGATTAAAATTTTATTTTTTATTATTTTTATTAACCTGAATATTCAACCAACTAATTGTAAAAACGAACACATGTTTTGTGGGTAGCCTAGAGTGATCGCATATGTTTTTTTCTCTTAATTGTGTGCTTTCAGCAATGCTATCATATTATTTATGGAAAATTTCGATATATTTATTAGGATTTTAAAATCTTCGAGTTTTAATGTCTCACCTTTTTTAGCCGTTGGTATCTCACGTCAACTAATTCTATTGGATTTGGACCTTAGAGAATAACCAAAAAAGATCCCTAAGGAGCCGTTTATTAAACGGTAAAATTTAATATCATCACTTATTTACCGGGTAAAATTTTAGTCCACCAATACGATATCATATACAACAATTTACACGGTAAGCGCTAAACCGTTGTAAGAGTAGTCTTTCTCACTTACCAGGTAAGACTATTCGTCTTTGTCTTTGTGCTTACCAGGTAAGATTTTTGGTCTTTGTCATATTCATCCGGTAAGGTAACGTGACTTAGTAAGCACTTATCCTGATAAGTGTTTGGTAAACGGCCCCTAAAACTACAGTAGATGTTAAATACATAAATATTGAATACACGATACAAACATTTGTAGCGGAATACTTACAAACAGGCCACAAGACAATAAACTGGTCTCATTCTTTTACAACTTCCTAATCTCATTGATGAAGAGCCCTTTACAAAAACCAATGCTTTCCGGGTCATATTTCTTGTTTGGATGTTCCTTCGCCTTAATCCATAGCATGTTCCTGATCTAATTCAAGTTTTTCTTTATGTAGTGGAAACGTCTTAAAATCTGAAGTTTTACGCTTACAAGGAAGAGTTGATAAGGTGGCGTTAAAGGCGTCTGACTTTATCCTGGAGTTCCCAGAACGAGTCGGACAGGAGCCCCGTATCATTGAGGTACTCGAGAATTCGGAAAAGATTTTCCAGAGAATCCTCCCCCGTCGCGTACTGGAAATTGTCGAGCACGGAAGCGCCCCTAGAAACCCAATCCCCCCCTAAGTCTAGCGGTATCATTTTTTGGACGATCGAGGCTTTCACTTCCATCCGGTCTGCTTCTGCTAGGATTTTGTCCTGATAGCACCGTGCTTATTCAAAAAAGAGAGTCCCTTTGACGGAGAGAGACCCATTTCAATCGAGCGGCAACCGCTGCTGCGAGGTAATATCTCAGCTCGAGCAGAAGTGAACGAACAACACCTCCTTTCCTTGCATTAACGCCCATTTTTCCACATCGACCACTGACAAGACTTCCAAGAACTGCATGTCAATGAAACTCACTAGATTGCAGGCCACTAATTTCTCTTAAATTTCATTATTTTCTGCTTCAAACTACCAAAATGTACCAATTTTTTTCACTTATATACCAACCCCATTTTATAGCACCAATTCACAAATCATACTTCTTTGCTCCCAAGGACACTAACCACTAAAACTAGAACATACAACAACATATATATATATATATATATATATGCTGATACATAAAACCAGATCTTCAGAATGTAGTTAAAACCAGCAATTTCGGCACCAACTCGCACGAAAGCTTCTGTTTCTTCGATTTTTAAGTATATAACTCGTTTCTTCGGTTACAAGTATTGCTTATGTATCCTTGCTCGATTCTCTTCCCACCACAGTCTTGCATGCACCTCTCCAAATTTTTCGCGGCTGCATACAACATTTGTTTATGAGCTAGCCTGATTATTTAAGAACTAAGAGGACAAAAAACAGGCAATATTTGGTACAGTTGGCATAGGATGTTAGAATGAAAGTCATTAAGCTAAAAAAAACTTAGAACTTCATGTTCCTAATTGAAAACTCATTTAAGGTCATTCAGCCAAAAGGACCCGGATTGTAGCTAACCTGAATCTGACACGTCTGAGTTCCCTCGAGCCACCTGGAAGAGCTCTGATGGTGATATAGACTCCGGGTTCATCTTGTTCCACCCATTCATTCTCGATATCACTCACATTACTGATGGAAAACTCTCCTGAGCGATCCGCCTCTCTTGATGAGCTAGCGCTTAAGGAAGCATCCATGGATGATGTTTCCGTTTTGGTTCCACTAATGCTTGATAGTTTCGGGGTGACGGTTAGACCAGAGGAGTCACGGTTGGACCGCAACAGGGTTGAGCTTTGGTGATCAAGAGAGTCCGACGATGAGGATCCAAGTGGCCGATGTAAGGTGTGAGGTAGCCTTTCTTTACTCAAAGTTGGTGTTATTGGACTGTCTCCAAAAAATTCATTTTTTGAAACCTGTTACATGAAGAAATCAACCACATTATCAGACATTTAAACCATAACCCACAAAAAATGTGACCAAGGGGTCGTTTACTAAAAAAAATTTGGGTAAGCGTTGATATGATCTGGTAAGATGCTATGACTACGTAAATGACTCTTATCAGGTCGGCATGTCAGAAGGCAACATTTGTTGGTCAGAAGGGGTGCTGGTAAACAAGCTGTTTGGTTGGTTTTCCATTATGTCCTATATGGATAAAAATATCTATGTGGATTAATCTGTTTGTTTAAATGAAGGTTTTTGTTTGAGAAAGTTTTTTCATGTACATGGAAGGAGCGTGTTTGTTAATTGGAAATAACATGTTTGGAAAAAATTTGGTTTTCTACATAAAGCTTTCCCTAGAAGCTCTGAATAAGCTACTTTCTATATCATTAAGCCACTACTAAATGGTAATACGTAGTCGATCGAATAAGCTACTAGTCCCATTAAGCTGCTAACAAACAGGTCATATCTCTTACCTAGTAAGCACTACTTACCATGTAATAGGCTATAAACATATATTAGCTTTGAAGCATGAAATGTGAATGACTAACATACCCTTGACTCAAGAGCAAGTTCGTCTTCCGACCTTGGAGGCATTGGAAGAGGAAACGCCTGACGGTTTAACCTTTGAACATTGTAAAGTTCCATCACCTTGTCGAAATTATCTTGCCACCATCTTTGCGCTTGCCATTTATTAAACATTTCGCGGCTGCAAAAGGTATCATAACTAAAAATCAAAGTCTTGGAGGTTGATGTTTGTTAAAGAAAAAAGACATTTTTTTATAGCAGTATAGGTTATATTCTATTACAAAATTAAGCAAACCATAATGTCATAGTGATATTTTCCTCACATGACATGAATATCATTGACATCGTTTTCATTATTGGAAGTAAATATACACAAATTAACACATGATCTCAAATTGTTTGGATGATTATATAATTCATTCATTTATGTTATCAAACAGGGAAACAACTTGTTGACCAGAAGGGTATTGCTCCTCTCATCATAGATGGTATATCAATAAAATAATTTTATGTGTAGACATATCTGTTTTTGATCAATTGATCTGAGAGATAATATATTATCCATAGAAATATTACCAAGTCACATGATATACAATATAGAAGTTCTTTTTCCAAACAGAACATGCTATGTCTACTAAATATGCAAGGCTTTTATATATATATATATATATATATATATATATATATATATATAGGGTTGGGTTCACGTGAGACCAATGGTTTTTCGTGAGACCCGTAAAACCAATTTATGTTCATTGATCAACTTTATAAGTTAAAGATCTAATGGTCTAAAGTTGCACGGTGGCAATTTTGTGATTATGAATGTTCAAATTGTAGATCTGATCCAAGGGTCGAGAATTGGTCTTACGGATCTCACGAAAAACCCTTGGTCTCACATGATTCCAATTTTATATATATATATATATATATATATATATATAAGGTTGGTTTTACGTGAGTGCGGCCTGTTTTCGTGAGACCATTTTTTTACACTTGAAACTTCACAACAAAACGCTGTGAAACTTATCTCCCATACACAAACAATAAATAACAACTATCAAATATAGAATTATATATATATATAGAGAGAGAGAGAGAGAGAGAGAGAAAGAGATTTGGGATCATGTGAGACCAGTCTGTTTTCGTAAGACTCGTGAGACCAGTTTTTTACACTTGAAACTTCACAGCAAAACACTATGAAGACTTGGGATCACGTGAGACCAGTTTGTTCTCGTGAGACCAGTTTTTTACACTTGAAACTTCACAGCAAAACACTGTGAAGGTAATAAACAATTAATAGGCATGTAAGATTTCAAGTGTAAAAAATTGGTCTCACGGGTTTGCTGTGAAGTTTCAAGTGTAAAAAACTGGTCTCACGGATTTTACGAAAACAGACTGCTCTTACGTGATCCCAACTCTCTCTCTCTCTCTCTCTCTCTCTCTATATATATATATATATGTGTGTGTGTATTTCAATATCTGATAGTTGTTATTTGTTGTTTGTGTATGGGAGATGTGTATGGGAAGCTATAAATAAAGTAATAAACAATTAATAGGCATGTCAAAGTACACAAGAAATTTAATTTATTGCAATCATCTCATAAGAGAACGATTTTTTTTCTTGTATTCATGATGATCGGGTCCATTTCTGGGCTCCTCAACCACCATAGTCAAAGAAATATCCAATAACTTCAAAGAAAAACCCCAACATTTAAGTTTAATATGTTACTTGAGTTGATCCTAAGAGTGAAGAAAGATTTGTTTATCAAAAAATAAAATAGTAATAAACCAAGTCATCATTTAATTTGAATTTAATAAAAAGGCAGCATGCCAAAGTGGAATATGGAAGCCAATTTATTTTCATGGTATGAATTGGGCCCATAACTCATTAAATTTCATTTATGATGTTAAAGTTTAATTTTAATGACCAATTCATATCCTCTTTCTAGAAAAATGACAATTACAAGTATACTCGCACACACATTTATTTTTATTTTGAACCCCTCTAAATTCAAATAGCATTAAAAATATAATATAAAAACATATGATATTTATTTACTATAGAGAAAATATATCAATGTGTCATATATGTAAGTAATATTTTTATCGTATCTGGAGTAGGCTATATGTATACATATGTATTGTTAAATGCATACTTACATACTATTTTTCTTCTCATACACTTCAATATCAAAATTTAGTTTTTTACATTTTCAATATATAATTTAATCTAATTTTTTTACCTAATTTAACATTATCTTAATATAAATAGACATGTATATAAAAACAACACCCTATGTGTCTGCTTCATGATGCTATTGCAATAAATGTACCATGTTGTATGTCCTAAAATGCAAACAAGTTTAGATTCTGTTCCATACGATATGAACCTCAAATTTGGTCATTTTTTGGGTTTTCATTTCTGTCATCTTGGCCATCGCAAAATGACAAACCTAAGAAGTGTGGCCAAGTACTCAAAAAGTTAAAAGAGCTTCATTTTCTGACAAGCCAACAACATTTGGTAAAAAGCTTTTCACCAACAAAACAAAGATTTAAACATGGCCCCATCAAATAACTCCTTTTCTGTATAAAAGCAGAGGTTGTGTTTTAAGATTTTTGTTTTCTTATTATTCATATGGTTCATATAAAACATTTTCTTTTATATAAAGTAATACAATAATTTTCTTTCAACAAAAACTGATGTGATCTAACACAATTCTTTCAACAAAAATTGATGTGATCTAACACAAGTACAACTAAGGAGTATCTTCTTAAAACAACGAGCTTAGCACCTAATCAAAAAAATAACCGGAATCAGGGTTAATCCATCATAAAATGACTAACTTTTTTCAAACATAAAATATCACTTATTTTGCAAAAACCATGAGAAGAAACCCCATTTTTTTTTGCTAAAATATACTTTTTTGCATTTTTATTCGGTTTGTGAGCAAAGTTTGCAAAAACCAAACCACGAGTAAAACCCAATATTTTGCAAAAGAAAAAAAAGAGGGTTTTGCTACCCTTATGCGAAGTGGGTCCATAAGAACCGAAAAAGATTTGAAAAAGATTTGAAAAAGATATAAATCTCTAAAAAGGAGTTCTATTCAATTTTTTTATGAAATAGATGGTTATTTTGTGCTATTTCTAAAAAAGTTGATCATTTTCTTATGGTAATTAAAATACTATATAACTGTCCTTTAATCTTTAATTTAACATATTATATAATTCTATCAAATGTGTTTTAAAATGAATGATGAAATATAGTTTAGTGGAGGGACCTATGTTATGATGGTGGAGACAATATTATCTAGGGTTTTCACAGTGTCAAGATTCTGACTCCCAAGTAACGCACAGCACAAATCACAAATGAGATGAGCATACTTGACTGGTCTTGTGAAAGACTTTTCCTTTGCATGGTGTGGACAGCAAGGAAAATGATCATGTCGATGTTTTCTTGTCACCTACTCCAAGTGTATGTCAGCCAGAGATTTAGTACATGTTAGAATTTCTTTTTAAAATAAAAAGTATATTTAAGTTTTCTTATATGCACTTTATTAGTCCCAAAAATAAATTTTAACTTTAGTGAAAATATTTTACTAATAAACAAATACCTACAAGAATTATTAATGACATAAAATTGAATATATATATATATAATATATATACGTGAACCAAAATTATTGTCATAACTATAATTACTGTTAATTGATAAATAGATAAATATAAATTAATTATCACCAATAAAATAAATAATGTAATTTTCAAGAAGCAAATTGAAAAAGTATTACATTTTTCAAACGAAGATAATGGTTAATATTATCTATGAAAGGAAAAAAAATTATATAACGGGAAGTTTCATTAAGAACTCAAAATTAATTAGAAACCTTGAAGTTGTTTACAGCATGTTACGTGTGTCTCTTCAGAATAAGTATTTATCAAGTATAACATATTCATGATGAATATGAAAGTATTATTCATCATGAATCAAACCTTCATGATGAATAATATGTTAACATTTATTATGAATCACGTCATATGTTGCGTTATGGATGGTTCCCAAATTTTTCTAATCAAATTTTTATTTCTTAAGGAACCTACTCTATGTAAGTAAACAAAAGGGTTTTGCAATGAAAACTTAATTTTATAAAAAGAATAGATGTCATCTATATAGGAAAAAAGTTATTTAACAAAATAAAAACAACAATAAAAAAAGATTTTAATTTCAAGACCTTTATCAATCCTAATGAATGCCAAGTCCTTTCACCGAACATTACAATGCTTAATGATATAACTTTCCCATCATAAGACATTTTGATGTGGCCTAAAGCAAATCTAAAAAGAAAGACAAATTTTCCTATGCTTTTTCTAAAACCAAAATTTCCAACATTACTTGTATTTACTAGAACCTAAAAGGTATGGACTTTAATTGACATAGAATATTCTTAGAGGATAATGCAAAAGCTAATTTTCATAAAGAGAAGCAACCATTATTGACAAAGTTGAGTTGTAATCATAGCTATTTCTATAATCATGGTTAGGTGCACCAATAAAATATATACTATTTTAAAGATTAGCGATAACTCTATAAAATATATTTAAAATATTTATTATTTTAAAAGATTAGTAATAACTTAAATACTTTAGTCATTGTCATTCTTACATCTCTATTATAGAACTTAATTATAAACAAATGACAACAAACACATAAAAACATATATAAACATACTTCCCCTTATATATATATATATATATATATGTGTGTGTGTGTGTGTGTGTGTGTATGTATGTGTAAAATATAATAATTTTGATATTGTAGTCCAAAACGTTTCTAACTGCTTTTCTTAATTGTAATGAGCTAATGACCCAAATATTTGTCCATTGTGAATTTTTTTTATGCTTCATAGTAGAAAATTGATGCCTTAAATATAATAGTGAAAAATGCATCCAAATTCTAAGATTATGACTAGACTTTGAAAACAATTCAAGAAAAACTAAAGAAAGTTGGGACATTTTTGATGTCACGATTTAAAACTTATCTTTATCCTTGCTAACAAAGAGTTTAAGCCCTTTTCTCTATCCTCTTGATCCTAAATTTGGATTTAACTTTAGTTTTTATACTTAAAAAATAGAAAAATTATATATCAATGATATATAATTGTATCAAACTATTTATCTTAAAAACATGAGGTGCATGTGTTATTTATGTGTCTATCCTTTCATTTAGTACATTTAATTTTCAAATTAATTTAACAAATATTTACCGTATTTTTATAGCTAGTTGTATAAAAGATTTGTATGTTGATAATATATTTGAAAATTATGTATCGAATTTTGCATTTTTAGGGAATATGTACATACATTAAAGAGAGGATCTAACCCCTTCCCTAATTGTTGATTCATAAGAGAGGATACAAAAGATGGTCAAGGTTCTTTTTTAAATTCAAAATCAACATGTAATCAAAACAAGGATAAATATTTAAGGTTAATCATTTATTCTATTTGTCTCAAAGTAAATGTTCACAATAGAAATAACATACAATTTTGAAAATGAATAATTATTACATTTTTTTGTCAACTAAATGATAATTTTACCCTTGATTTATATATATAGACGCAAACACACATATATATTGTATCAACTCTTATATGTTTATACATTAATTGAGGATAGATTTAAAATTTAGTTATCTGGATATTTGTTTCGAGAAGAAAAATAGTATATAACGTTTTCCAATAAAAAAAACAATCTCCCATTTGATTCCATTAACAAATATTATAAGTACCTTCTTATTCTCAACAGTGTACCATGTAAATTCAAATTAAATATGGTAACCCCATTGTATGCCTTCTACACCAATAGACACCATATGCAAATCTTCTTTTATATCTCTTATATTTATTAATAACTTTTTCTTATCAAGCAAATATCCTTTGTTATATCAAATTTAGTTCAACTAACACGTTGGTCTTAGTCGTGCTTAATAATTTGGTCCTATGTCTTGTCTTGTGGCTCATTACCATGTTTATCACTTGTATTATATGTTGACTTCATTAACTTATGTATGTTCGTTGTTCTTGATATTTATCATAAATATCTATTATGATATATCATGAATAATTTGGGTAATTACCGCATTTTTAACCAGTTCACATGGAACCCGCTTCCAAAAACACCAATGTAAAAATTACTTTTTGGTTCATTCATCAATTCTCGGCTATCTAATTCTCAGCTATCTAATTCTCAAAGTATGATGTGTGCATATATGTATGATGTGTGCATATATGTATCTATGTGTTTTTGCCTTTATTCATATAATCATTATTATTTTTCAAATAGCACTTCCAATCCTAAATCTAGTTAACGAGAATATTTAGAACGAAATTAAATAAGAAATGCTGGTAAAAAATAATGATTAAAGGAAGAGTGTTTTAGTTACCTAAACCGGATTCTTTTAAGATCGTTACCACCACGCGGCAGCGAAATAAAGGTAATGAGGACGCCGGGTTCAACCTGAGCAACCCACTCTTTCGGTTCAATCTCCTCCACCAATACGATCGGGTCAGGTCTCCGGCCACTCGCCGATGCAGATAACATTCCTAACACAGCCTCCCCACCTCCACCACTCCCCATCGATATGCCCTTCAACCTGGCCTCCATTTCCTTCCCCCAAACTCTGCCGGAGCTCGAATTTTTGCTACCAGTTCGTCGGTACGTCCACCGGAACCTCTCTGAAACCGGTGCCGATGAATCCGATTCCGCATCGTTACTATTCTGTAACTGCTGCTGTGAAGTCATCATCATCGCCGGTCCCGTACACGTGCTGCAACCTCGATATGCTCCCGACGCTTTTAGCGCCATGTCCTTGATCTATAACACAAAAAACCGATCAGTTCTATAACATTTTTATCCCTGAAGTTTAAAACAATCGGTTTAAAATAACAACCGCTAATCAATTCAAAACAGCAATAATCCGTTCCAACTTCCAAACACGCAGAAATAAAAAACACACGTACCTGAGAAGCGAGTGTTTTCATAGCTTGTTTAGTGGCAGCGGTATCGCCATTGCGATTTGATTCATCAAGCTCATCAGGCAGCTTCGATCGAGGAACACAAGTTGGCATTTCAACGAAATTGTATGATTGATCGATGGATTGAAGAAATTGAAGTACAGAAGAGATGGATTGATTGGGGAAGAAGTGAGGAATTCAATGAGAATTGATAAGAATGAAGAAATGAAGGATTCATGGGTGAGTGGGAAGCTAAACGAGGGGCAATAATATGTATGTTGTGTTGGTGCTCACGCACTTTTATTGCTCCCCTTAATTTCCGCCATTAAATAGATACCCTCTTCTCTCATTTTACAATTAAGACCGCTAAAAAGTCAACAATAAATATGTAATATATATGTATAGAACTATGCCACAACACCTTTAATAAGCATTTACCGGTAAAATTCAACACTATTACATACTTACTAGGTAAAATTTTAGTTCACTTAAACAGTATTACATGCAACAATTTACCTGGTAAGTGCTAACCGTGGAAAGAGTCGTCACCATCACTTATTGGATAAGACTCCGGGTCATTACGTTCGTTCTTACCGGGTAAGATTTTTGGTTCTTGTCATATTCAATAGGTAAAATAATGTGACTTGGTAAGTGCTTATCCGGATAAACATTTAATAAATGGTCCCTAAATTTTTATAAAAAAAAAAAATAGAAGATTTCGTCTTTTGGTTTACTAGAGATTGGACTTTCACACAACTTTGATTACTTTCATCTACCTTCATTTACCTTCATGCATTTGCATTCACACACTTTCGATTAAAGATGAAAATGAGACATGGGTCCTAACCCAACACCTTGATCATGCCTTCATCCCGCCCATGTATTCCCCAATGGGTTTCACAGGGGTGGGAGGAGGAATCCCTGCGCGGGATATAACGAATCTGTGGGGTATATGCCTAGTAAAAAATAACATGGAATGTATACTGTAACACCTTAAAAATTTATGATTCGTAAAATAAATAAATGTTAAGTGTTAAAATTTAAAGAGTAAACGACATACGAGATTAAAGTGTCGATACTCAAAAAATATGATTTTATTGCAATAAATGAAATCAATAAAAAAAAATGAAACATTTTGTATTTAATTGATTTGGGATGAAAATGCAGAAAGAAAAACAAAAGAGACTAATTCTACCAAAAGTAGAAAATCAATTTGGAAATGATTGAGATTTGGGAAATCAATCACGTTTTTCCTATTCTAGAGATGGTTTGACGCCCTATAAATTGAAAATTTCGGCTGAAATTTTGTGGAGACGTTCCTAAGGGTGTAAGGGAGTAACCGTCTTTGGAATTTCGAGATTTCATCAAGAAACGAGAGATATATCGAGTTTGAAGCGACATAGAGTCATTCAGCACAAAAACGGCGATTGGAGGTAAAATACTCAACCAAAAAATTTGATGTATAATATATGGTTGGCTTCGTTTTTCAATTACCTTTCTGTTGGTACAAGTCTCGTGGGCTATGGTGGCCTGTACATCGAGCGGTTTAGACTAGAAGCTGTTGTGGTGGCGGCTCGACGAGATTCGGGTACAAAAACTCAAAATACGAGTTTAATATTGAACCGTAGGGGCTGTAAATTTGGATACGAGTTGGGATTATTATTATGTATAAGATTTTGTAAAAAGTTTGGTGAAAAAAGATCGGAAAAATATCTCAAATAAAGATCGTTCACGATAGCCGTACCAAGGGTGCGACCGGGTTGGGCCGGGCGTCGAGTTGAGTCGGCCGACACTAGACCAAGTTTAGGCCATGGCCGACTTATTTCGGTCGAGTTCGGTTAGACTCGAATTGTTTTGATAAAATTGGTATTTGTTAAAAAGAGATTTGGGGCTTGTTTATTTACTTAGATTAATCGAAATAAATCGGGATGTTTCGATTAAGTTGGTCAAGATTTTGACATCAATTGTAAAGGTTATTAATTAATTGGATTTTCATATTTAAATTATAAGAAATAATTTAATAACTTAATTCGGGAGTTGTGACTAGATAATTGTGGGATCGGACGTTTTTATATCGAGAATCGTATATAATCAAATGTTGGGTTTAATACGTCGTAATTTATTTTGGATGTGAAAAAGAATTCCATTGGGGAGGCGGTATATGGCGACGAGGTATGCTTGGGGTTGACCCGTTGACCATTCCTACCCCAAAGTTGACCTATTTGACTTTCATGTTGACTTTTTGGGGAAATGTCAATACTCTAATTATTGAAATATAATTACATGTTATATGATATTACTCAGGGACGAGGTTTAGCCAAACGAAACTATTCAGGTAAGTCTTCGTGAGACTTTAACTGGGATGCATGCTTATGTACAAATTATTTGAGCATTACGATTTTTTTTATGTACATGTTTATGGGTTTATTGCATGTAAATGAATTATTATTGTGGGTTACATACTATTTGTTTACGTGTTTTTAAACATTAATTAGCATGTTATAAACGGGTTAATATTTTTGTCGGGTATGGGAATGGGTCAAAAGTCATAAGGGATGGCACATCCTAGGGATGGGTGACCGGACAAGGGATAGCCGTGTAACCCGGGGAAGTGCCGATGACAGTAAGACCCTAACCCGACGAAAAATTAAGAGATCTCATTATTATTTAAAAAAGGATGAAACAAATGTGCATATTATTTTATTTGGGGCATTGTTTGTTTTATGCATGATGAGGTGTGTATGATTGTGCCACAAAAACCATGAACTCACCGAGTTTTATAAAGCTTACTATTAGTATGCATCTCAGGTGCAAGAGGTTCAAGGGTGGACAAGAACAAGGTTCTCGCCTAGATAGTAATATTATTGTTATATTTTCGGATGTTTAGGTTTATGCTTAAACTCATTTTGTAATGTAACCCAGTATGGGACAGGTTAGTGTTGAGCTATTAATTTTAATTAGATTTGGAAGACTTCCGATGTAGTATGGCTTTATTAGCCGCTATATTTTGAGGTTATTTATTGTTACTTAATGAGAATTACGTGACACAACTCATAGTGAAAACGAGTGTGTTACATATACATTATATATATACACACACACACACATAGTGAAAAAATGAAATGCAAACTATGAACATGTACGATGGTACCAATCTTTTTGGAGACCCTGTTACACTTGTACTAAGACAATAGATCGCAAAACGAGTAATAAATAAAACAAAATATGAAAGTTAATACCATATATTACATTAAAGTTCTTTTATAAATTAAAAAACAATAATGTTTTAAAGTGATAAAAGGCAAATTGCAAGAAAAATAACGTACTTTAACTTGATTCATATTTCGAGTAACGTACTTTCAAAACTTCCATTTTGGTACCTAAGATGTAAAGTTTGAAACATTTAAGTACCCAAGTAACCCGTTGAAGCATTAACTGGTTACCATGCTGATGTGGCGAATGATGGATGAAATTAGGTTGAATAGCGAATAATACTGAGTTGGATACCACATCACTCGTCACATCAGCATGGTAGCCGGTTAATGCTTCAACCGGGTACTTAAATGTTTAAAACTTTACATCTTATGTATCAAAATAGAAGTTCTCAAAATACGTTACCGAAAATAAGAATCAAGTTAAAGTACGTTACTTTTTCATACAATTTGTCCATTATAAAATAACATATGAAATTCACTTAAATATAAAATTCTTCGAAAACCATATTTAGGAATCGTCAAATAGGCTAAAATAGTAAAAGCCTATTAAGCTAAAAAAATGTATAAGTGGGCTAAAGGTTAAGGCATAAATAATTAGGTAAAGGCTAAAACATGTATAATAGTGCACCAGAATATAGGGGCTATTTATATATCTTATGATAATTATAATTAATAGAAATAAAGTAAATAATTAAATCATTTAATTTATAAATATTTTTACACACTTTCATATTACATACATACCTAAATATATGTAGTACCAATTTGAATGAAAATTTTGATGTAATTAATGATAGTTTGAAAAAACTCGATTCATGCAAATAAGAAATTATGTTTTATTCGGTTTGGAAAATTCTTATGAATTGGCAAAGGCACGGATGAAAATTGTTGCAACAACAATGGTTGTAGAGGTAGAGTCATTGATGATTGGTGGATGATGGTGGTTGTAAATGACGTGAAGATGGTAGATAGTGGTAGTGGTCGACAGTGGTGGAGGAGATAATTGTGACTGATGTGGTGGTGGTAGCCGACGATACTAGTGGTGGTAGCGATGGGCGATGGTGGTAGACGGTAGTTGTGGAGGTAGAGGCGGTGGTGGTTGGTGGACGATGATGATTGTGGAGGACGTGAAAATGGTGGAAAGTGGTGATGGTGGAAGTAATTGTGGTCGATGTAGGGGAGGTAGTGGTTATGGTGGGCAATAGTAGTGGTAGCCGGTGGTGGTGTTGGGTCGTGGTAGTGGTAGCCGATGGTGATGGTGGTTGTGGAGGAATGTGGATGTGAGGTGGCTCACGGTGGTGGTGGTCGTGATGATGAACGATGGTGGTCGGTGACCAAAGATGGTGTGCTAATGGATAGTCGTAGTTGTGGAGGTGGTGGAAGTTGTTGTTACTAGAAGAGGAGGTAGCCGACAGTGGCTACCTATGATGACGGTGGCCACGACAGGCGGTGATGACCATTAAAACAAATATCATAGTAAGGTTATATATTAAAAAGGGTTAAAATATTTTAGATCATGTCTCATCAGTGTCCCATCTTGTTCCACCTATTTTGATGGAACGAGAAAAAACCTTTTTTTTGTTATATCTTGTCCCTTTCCCATATCGTATCAAATACGAGACCGTAAATACTCGTTCTATCATATCACGTCAAACATGAAACAATAAGTTTTGTTTCATTCTTTAATGTTCCGTCCTAACCGCAACCTTAACGGTAAGAAGTTATCAAGTAAATAAATAGCAGATAACTTGAAGAAGTTGCGTTTCCCATCCTAACCGATGGCTGACGTCATCATTTGTCCACAAAAGATAGCAGAGTTACACGTGGATCAAGTTTACAATTTGTAAAAAAGGTCCCTATTCTTTTTTGCAAGATGTCAAACGAGTCCAATAAAAATCATTATATTTCTTGCTACATCTCATGACAACACTATCATCATATAAGGGTTGGGTTCCGGTAAGAATAAAGGGTTGTTTGCCAGTTATTGAAGGGTTAAGTGTACAATGCTTAAGTGGTCAGAATGATTAAAAGGCTCTCGTGATATAAGATGCTCAATGGTTAAAGGAGACCCATGATATAAATTTATTTAGAGGGTTTTAGAACCATTAAGAGACAAATCTTTTTAGGGTTGGGTTCCGGTAAGAATAAAGGGTTGTTTGCCAGTTATTGAAGGGTTTAGTGTACAATGCTTAAGTGGTCAGAATGATTAAAAGACTCTCGTGATATAAGATGCTCAATGGTTAAAGGAGACCCATGATATAAAATTATTTAGAGGGTTTTAGAACCATTAAGAGACAAATCTTTTTATTACCAAACAAGATTTATCTCTTAACGATTCAAAGACTGTCTCTTAATGAAACTATTAAGAGGTAAACAAACAGCCCCTAAAACTTATGATGAGAAGAGATCTTCACACTTGGATTAATTATAATTGTAGAGAACCACTTGATCAACACTAATGAGATACACTATATCAATTGTCTTTTAAAGTGCAATTCATAGGTTATTTTGGGAATAAAAGTGACCAAATGTCCAAATCTCTTATTATATATCTCGTCTTAACTCACATTCTCATATACTTCATCTATCACATGAAATGTCGACTAAATACATATTATTTTATTTTTGATTTTTTTTTACAAAGATTTAAGTTTATTTCTATTTTGCATTACTAATAAACAAAAAGACTGCGTAAATAGTAATGAGACTAACCAAGGAGTTGTTACAAGTTATGTTCAGGTCTTCTGGGTCTAATCAGGTGAAGTTTTCAAGCAAATAACTTGTCTTGAAAAATCCTATTTAATTGGTTATCAAACTCGTTTGATGACCGATTAGGGCATGATTTAGACATGGTCAAAGCCCGAATTATAACCAATCAAATCAGGCTCTAAGTTTGGTTCAATACGAGTTATACAAGCATCAAAATCTTTTTTGGTGCTTTTAACTGAGCCTATCGAAGAGAGGTCAGCAGTAACCGAGCCTCTTATCTTCTAAGAGGTCAGAGGTCCAAACCTCATTAATGGTGAGAAGGGTGTGTGAGTTTATTTATTGCATTTGTCGTATATAAAATATATTATATATTTCAAAAAAAATGAAGAATAAAACATCTTAAACGAAATTCAACTAACTTTGTTTTCAAATTCACCAAATAAACGGGCTGATGAATACGAGAACTTATGAACACTCTTCCAGTTCCTCGCACACACGAGCATGAGAACACACGAGCATCCAACAGAATGAAGAGGAAAGGCACCCTCGGTACCAGAAAGCATTTTGGTGGCCTTTTTGGGGAAAATAATATTATTTAGGGTTATTTTTGTCAATCAAGGAAAGTTAAGGGACTGTAGCATGAAATCTTCAAAAGAAATAGTTTTCTAGCTTTTGGTCACGGATCTGGGCCCACGTCAGATCCAACATACGGTCCCTTCCATGAATTTTAGCGGAGATCACTCACCGGAAAATCTTCCACCTCCGATCACCGGCGTCTTTTCTCATACACAGTGATTCTTTCTCCCTCTCTGTATATATGTATGTTGCTGTATCTATTTCATAACAATAAAATATTAACTGTTTTAGTGAGAGTTAGGGTTTAAAAGGTTCTAGAATAGTCCTGAGCTTACTCTGTGAAAAGCTATAAACAAAACTAATCTGAAAGTTTTATCAGATCAAATTTGATCAATACCTCTTCATTTACACACACATATTCATAAAAAAACATGCCGGCGGCAAGGAGGAGGAAGGGCCACGGCGGTGATTCGAAGAAAGCAACAACTTCCGAGCAGCAACCTGCTCCTAGATTGGACCGGAAAGTCGAAGAGCAGAAGAGAGAAAAAGAGAGAAAAACGAAGGATTTGAATAATAAAAATATCAACAATTTGAAGAAAGAGAGGAGTAAACGGACATGTATAGATGGTTGTTGCTGGTTGATCGGGTTTATATGTTCGACTTGGTGGTTTTTGTTGTTTTTATACAATGCGATGCCGGCATCGTTCCCGCAGTACGTGACGGAGGCGATAACGGGTCCAATGCCCGACCCGCCGGGTGTAAAGATGCATAAAGAAGGGTTAAAGGTGAAGCATCCGGTTATTTTTGTACCCGGAATAGTGACCGGCGGGCTTGAATTGTGGGAAGGCCACCCCTGTATGGATGGTTTGTTTAGGAAGCGGCTGTGGGGTGGTACTTTCGGTGAAATATATAAAAGGTGATATCTAGTTTCTCTTTAATTCCAACTTTTAAGTTATATGCTTCTTTGATTTTTCTGTTCACTTGTTTCATCATTGCATTTCTTATATGTTTTTATCTTTAATTAAGCAGCCCTCTTGTGGGTTATTGAGCTATGATGGTATCTTTGATTGTTGACGATGGCGTGATGGCATATTATATGGTTTTCTGGTGATTCTTTCTCTCAGAAGTTTGTTGTTTTGATGAGGAAATCAAGAATTTGTTTTCTTTGCAACCATTATAAGCATATTGGTGACCATAGTTTTTTGTTAAAATATGTGGAATCGTGTTAGATTACTGACTAAAAGAGCTTTTGAAGAGAGAAGGTTGGTTCCAACATATAATGAGGAGAAATAGTTCAAGTCTAGCCAATGTGACACTCTAACAAACAATTGTTTCAGAGTATTGAAAGGGGGCTAGACGGGTGGGGACTAAAAAATTACAGATTGCCCCATAGAGTGGTAGACCTTGACTTTGATATCATGCTAGAATATGTGGAACCCCGTTAGTTTACTCTCAAAAGGAGCTCTTGAGGAGAGAAGAAGGGTCCAACATATATTTGTGGAAATGATCCAAAATGGTCCAAGTCTTGCTAATGTTGTACTCTAAATTTTTGTACTTTATTTTTGACGCTTTCCCACCTAAAGTTTGTTGAACTGAACAAATTAGTTCTTGATATATCTGAGCTTATATATCATGATATATGTACAAACTACTCTCCATTTCCACCAAATAGTATCCATTAATTAATAATGGATATATGTAAATCAAGTCTGTTTTGTTGAAATCATTGAACAGTAAAATGGTTTCTTAATCTTTGAGACCTTTCAGGGGGAACAGCAAAGGTAGTGCAAAGGGACCGCTTATTTTTCAGCTTCTTTACTTTTACAGTTGCCAATTTCTAATCGCCATTTCGATTCAGATCACACTATATTTCTATTATGTACTTTTTATTATTTGCAGGCCCTTGTGCTGGATTGAGCATATGTCACTGGATAATGAAACTGGACTGGATCCTCCTGGTGTAAGAGTCAGGCCTGTATCTGGGCTTGTGGCAGCTGATTACTTTGCTGCAGGCTATTTTGTATGGGCAGTTTTGATTGCCAATTTGGCTCGCATCGGATATGAGGAGAAAAACATGTATATGGCTGCTTATGATTGGAGGCTCTCATTTCAAAATACCGAGGTATGTTTGAAACACAACACTTACATCCCTGCATTAATGCTGTTAGAGTCCCAAATCGGCATGGCTTGAACCATTGACCTCTCTACTTATCGGAATCCCTGCTTTTCACAAGGGCTCTTTCAGAGAGTAACCTGATGGGTTTCCACATATTCTTGCATAGTATCAGAACCAAGATCACTCGCACTCTAGGCAATCTGTACCTGTCTAGACCCTGACCTGTCTAGGCCCCACAATCTGGGTCCATCTAGCCTTCACCGGTGGGGGCGTGTTGGAGTACCATATCGGCCAAATTTGGACCATTTTGCCTCTATATATGTTGGAACTCCCCCATCTCCATAAGGGCTCTTTTGAAGAGTAATCTGATGGGGTTCCACGTATCCTCAAATATGGTATCAGAGTCAAGGTCAATCAACACTCTGGCAATCTGCTAGCTCTTCAATATCTAGCTTCCTCTCGTAACTCTCGACAATTTGTGTTTGTCTAGCCACTATTTGTGAGACTGGGACCATTTCACCTTTATATATGTTGGACCCCTCCCCCCTGGTCCGCCCGCTCTCCTCAAGTGATATTTTGGAGAGTAATCTAATGGCTTCCACATTTTCTCAAACATACGTGGAGATGTATGCACTTCTAACTCAAATTACCCCATTCGGTGTCTGGTTTGATGCATATTAATCAAATGTCCTTGTAATTGTTACACGGGCAATTCTCAGAAGCAACTTTTGGTCTTGGTTCATATTGGTGGTTGCTTGACAAAAAATTGGCACTGATTTGAACCGTTGTTCTAAGATGATTTGACAAACTAAAATGACCAGGTACGAGATCAAACTCTAAGCCGGATGAAAAGCAATATAGAACTCATGGTGGCCACAAGCGGTGAAAAGGTGGTTGTAATTCCACATTCTATGGGTGTTCTGTACTTCTTGCATTTTATGAAATGGGTCGAAGCACCAGCTCCAATGGGCGGTGGAGGTGGATCAGATTGGTGCGCTAAGCATATAAAAGCTGTGATGAATATAGGCGGTCCGTTTTTGGGACTTCCAAAAATAGTTGCAGGCCTTTTTTCTGCTGAAGCAAAGGATATTGCTGTAGCAAGGTATTGCTTATAACTAGAATGGCTGATTGGTATCAAGCTTTGGTCTTGTTCTATACAAGATGAAAGTGAAACATTTGCTTAACTGTATGATAAAAGGCAAATATGCTGTTCATGATTCAGCTTTCATTTGTCCTGTTTGCTTCTATTTATATTGTTGTTGCTTACTCAAATCTGGTTTCTCAAAATTTAGCATATTTGTCTTCTGGTTTCTCAAAATTTAGCATATTTGTCTTTCTTTTTATTCATGTTGTTATTGCTTACTCATATCTAGCTTTCAAAAATTTAGCATGCCTTTATTTGTCTCTTTCACACACTTTTCACTGGCCGGGGTTTTTCACGGTGACAACCGCAATACTTTTCTGGGTAGATGTCAAGTCTATATATATAGGGTCAGGTTAAGGGGAAACCGCAAAAAAATGAAAAACTGAGGAACATACTGGTAACCGTTCATCTGGAAAGTATGTGCATGTGCATACAAGTAATTTGTAAGCAATTTGTTCAGTGTGCACATGTGGATAACATGCACACTTGCATAAAAACCAAGAAACAACTTCAATTACTTGTATGCACATGTGCATACCATCCAGATGAACGGTTACCAAAGTGTTCCTTAGTTTTTCATTTTTTTGGGACTTCTCCCCTGAACCTCTCCCCCCCCCCTCTCTCTCTATATATATATATTACCCTCCAAGGCCCCACCATCGGGTGGGATATACTGGCTTGATTTGGTTTCGTTTATTTGTCCTACTATCTATGCAGGGCTGTTGCACCCGGTGTTCTGGATTTGGATATATTTGGTTTCCAAACTTTACAACATGCAATGAGGATGACTCGTACCTGGGATTCAACAATGTCATTGATACCAAAAGGTGGGGACGCCATCTGGGGTACTCTTGATTGGTCCCCTGAAGCTGACCATGAATGTGTTGCTAAGAAAGTGAAGAAGAATGAGACTCAAGCAGTAGGTGAAAATGGAGCTGTTTTTGATGGTTTAAAATCTCATAATTATGGAAGAATCATATCTTTCGGAAAGGATGTTGCTGAATTGCATTCATCAAAAGTTGAGAGGGTGGACTTTAGGGTAATATTTCATTAAAAAATTTCAGTAACCTCTGTCTGTGTTTAGTCTCACAGACAACCAAATAATACATGGGTATCTGGTATTAAGCTAAATGGCCTTATGACAAGTGCTTTAAATTGACTGAAATAACTGATCCCATTAAGGAGGTTCACTTTTTAGCCACTTTTGTACCTCATTTCGACTTTTAGCCATTTCTTACGCATAAGCCTTATGCGTATGCATAAGGTTTGCTTTTCTGGGAAAAAAAAGAAAAAAATTCTTGCGCATTTATGCGTAACTTTTTTTTATGCTCAAGGATTTATGTGCAACTTCTTTTTTCATTTAAAAATAGGTCTAAAAGTAAAAGATGAGGCTTATGCGTAACGTTTTTTTGATCGAAAAGCAAACCTTATGCATATGCGTAAGGCTTATGCGCAAGAAAGGGCTAAAAGTCGAAATGAGGTACAAAAGTGGCTAAAAACTGAAACCCTTGATGGGATTGACTATTTCACTCAATTTCCCGCTTTTAAAACCATGACCTTTTGGCAGGTTTCGAGGCATTCTTTTGTTAAGTAGTGACATTCTCAAACCCGTCAGAAGGTCATGGATTTAAAAAACCTTGTCAGAAGGCCATTTAGCCAAAGGACCCCCAACAAATTATGTACATTGCAAGCTTAAATTCTCATGTAAGAACTTTTGTGACGTAGGGTGCTGTGAAGGGTAATAACTTTGCAAACAGATCTTGTCGAGATGTATGGAACGAGTACCATGAAATGGGGATTGCGGATATGAAAGCCGTTGCAGATTACAAGGCTTTCACCATTGAATCTGTTTTGGAACTTTTGGAATTCGTGGCTCCAAGGATGATGAAGCGCGGCAGTGCTCATTACTCTTATGGAATAGCCGATAATTTAGAGGATCCTAAGTATGAACACTATAAGTACTGGTCAAATCCCTTAGAAACCAGGTTAGACACTCTTTACTTCTATATTGCTTTCAGGGGCTGTTTGGTTGGTTTTCCATTGAGTCATGTATGGATAAAGTTGTTTATATAGATTGGGAAGGTTTTTGTTGGGAGGGTTTTTTCATAGATTGAAGGAGCCTGTTTTTTAGCTGGAAGGGGCAGGTTTGGAACAAACTTGGCTTTTTGCATAAAGCTCCTCCCTAGAAGCTTACTGAATAAGCCACTATCAAACACTCATGTATAACTGACTGAATAAGTTGTGAGTTTTATTAGGCTCAGTAAGCTGCTAACAAACATCCCTCAGTTTCCTTCACAAGCCTAGGGTCTTCACGTAAACAACCGCTCTACTCTTTTAGGTAGAGGTCAGGTCGGTATACATCTTAGAGCATCGTCAACAATTTCTCCAAAAAGGATAAATCGAGATTTTGAAGTTTTTAACCTTTATTTCTGCTCCAAGAGATCCTCCACAATGGAGAAAGTAGGAAAGAGATATAATCCAAATTTGGAGAACTCCCCATAATTAAATGTTCTAGAGAGAGATTTGTTTCTTTTATTGTTCCTAACAATAAAGCTGAATGTATTATTATTTCATACTAAAGTTAATTTTAAAGTATTCTTCGGATATTAAATCTATTGAATATTTTAATAATATAATTTATGTTGAAATCTCTATAATGGAGAAACTGTTGGAGATTAATGTAATTTTTTTCGGAGATTTTAACTTTTTGCTTCTCCATTTTGGAGAAATTATAAAGAATCTGTTGGAGATGATCTTAGCTCCATGGACCCCACCTCCTGGTAAGATATATTGGGTTCGTTTGGTCTTGCATATCATACCCTCAAGAAGTGTTCAATTTAATTATCGACTTTTCATCTTTGAACTTATTAAATGCGTTTATGCCTTTGCAGATTACCAAATGCTCCAGAAATGGAGATATTTTCCATGTATGGAGTCGGTCTGCCCACCGAAAGATCATATATTTATAAGTTTAGTCCAACGGCCGAATGCCATATTCCTTTTCAGATCGATACCTCAGCCGAGGGTGGAAATGATGAAGATTGTTTGAGAGCCGGGGTTTATTCTGTTGACGGAGACGAAACCGTTCCTGTTCTAAGTGCAGGTTTCATGTGTGCAAAAGGTTGGCGGGGGAAAACGCGATTTAATCCATCGGGGATTAAAACGTATATCAGAGAGTACGATCATGCCCCTCCAGCAACTCTGTTGGAGGGAAGAGGAACACAAAGTGGAAATCATGTTGATATAATGGGAAATTTTGCTTTAATAGAAGATATTATACGAGTAGCAGCCGGAGCTACAGGAAATGATCTGGGAGGAGACCAAGTTTACTCCGATGTTTTCAAATGGTCAGAAAGGATCAAGTTACGACTATAGATACAATTGGTGAGTCATACAAGCTTGTTTGCATTTGATATTATATTTATACTTTAGTATTATAAGATCCCCGATTGGTTGGGGAGGGGAACGAAAGTTGCCTTATAAGGAACTGGATACCTCCTCTATTAGACGTGTTTTAAGACCGTTGAGTCCTGGTGTGGACAAAATGGACAATAGGACATTTACATAGGACCCACAATTGTTTGGTCTCATAAACATAAATCCTATAAAGCAGTCTATTATGTCATTTACACAATTTTGGTTTCCTATAAAATCGATCGTAGTGGGAGTTCATATTAAGTTTGCTAGGATATGTTGAACCCTTTTGAGTCTCTCTCTAAAAGAACACTACAACAACATTAGGTTTATAGGATGCCTAAAATGTCTAAAGTCATAATAAAATGCTCTATAGGACAAAAAAAATGTCTTATTTAAAAGTGTTGCAATAGGTTTATATGACATTTTTGGGCGTTTTAATAAGTTTTTTAGTACACTTTTAAATTAAAATGTCGTCCAAAGGGACTTTGGTCTAGCGATATCGTAGCCCTTGGCCTTCTAGGAGGTCAGGGGTTCAAACCTCACCATAGGTGAGGAGGGTGTGTGAGTTTATTTGTTGCATTTGCCGTATATAAATATTATATACTTCAAAAAAAAATTAAAATGTCGTATTAGTTATTTTTATGGACAACTTTTTTTATTATAAAAAGATGGGTTTATAGGCCATTTCAAAAAATGGTTTTATAAAACTGCTAATACGGCATTTTGTTTTAAGTGTACTAAAAAACTTGTTAAAACGCCAAAAAAAAGTCTTATAATTAGGATGTTTAGACATTTTATTATAGTTTGATCCTTTGTATAGGACGTTTTATAGTTTGATCCTATAAACTTAAAACGCCAAAAAAAAACGTCTTGTTATTACACTTTTAGATAGGACGCTTTATAGTTTGATCCTATAAACTTAAGTCATGTATGGTATTCTATTAGCATGTTTAGACATTTTAGACGTGCTATGAACCCAATTTTGCTGATGTAATACTCCAGTAAACCTTAAAGGTGCGTCATTTAAGAACGATGAAAAGCGAATAAATATTCAAAGTTCTTTTCTCATGTTAACCAATCTGCTCGTGCAGATCGAGTAGATTGCAAACAATGAATGAGCGGCTCATGTGATAGCTAATACACGAGAGCCGATATACCGAATGAAAAGAAGGCGGGAGTTTGATGATGACAACAATGATATATGATGGTGGCGATCGATGGTGAAACAAGGGTATCAAATCGATTTCGAGGATATTGTGAAATTCCCAAATTCTCATACAAACATGATTATGATCTTCAAGAAATAAGATGAAGAGAGAGTAGATCACCAAAAATCTCGTGATTGATTGAGAGAGAAATTACAATGCTAATTCAGATTACATAATGCTAATGACTTGCTAATTACAATTACAAAGGAAACTACTATTTATACTAAAGAAGGAATAAAGCTATTCTATTATAAAGCATGTAAAATACGGAGAACTTGAATACAACAATAACGCACATACTTGAACCCAACATATTGTAATGGGAAGTTGGCAGGCATTGTGTAGGATTTAGTAAGATGTAGCCATTTTTGCAGCAGTTTTTTAGACTGTAATCACATAGAATCATCAACAGGAAGGCATGTATTTCATTAGCTACAATTTAAAATGCTCTTTTGGCAAGCTGTTATTGAACAAATTTCAGCCTACAATATGCATGTAAAAATACAATCCTACATTATAGTAAGATTTATTCGGGTTATTATATTCTTTTTTTTTAAAACCTGGATATTCAACCTGTTATGGGAGCCTACTAATCCCAAGACGACCACCTGCTTTGCAGATAGCCTGAAGTCAATCGCATTTGAACCTCTGTGGCCACAAGGGATTTTTATTCCTCCTTATGTTATTATATTCTTAGGGGTTTGTTTACCTAAACGCTCTATCTGGTAAGCGTTTACCTTATCTGTAAGAGTCGAACACTTTTTACTTGGCTTACCGAGTAAGATTTTAATCCATTATAACGGCATCGTATGCAACATTTTTATTCGGTAAGCGATTCACAAGTAAGACTTACAGGATAAGACTCTTGATCTTTGTCATCGCTCTTACTAGGTAAGATTCTCAATGTTTGTCATGTTCATCCGATAAGATAAACTGATCTGGTAAACACTTGTCAGTAAGCGTTTTGTGAACGACCCCTTAGATCATCTCCAACAGATTCAAATGTTTACGAGAGAAATAACATTTTAGTAAATTTATGAAACATTTCAATAATATAATCAATGTTGTTTCGCAATAGAGAAGTTGTTGGAGTTGAATGTATTTTTCTTTTTGGATATTTTGAATTTTGCTTATCCATTTTGGAAAAGTTGTTGGAGATGCTTTTATGGATTCGGCTATCTAACTATGTCTCAATTTTACGCATCCGAAGTGTGCCATTTCGTCTTCGGTTGGAACTGTGTTCGGTTGGCTTGGTTGGTTTTAATATACGGTGCACGAATTTGGATTCAATTGACTTGGTTTAGGGTGACTCGGCCTAGGTGACTTGGTTCAGAGTCACTTGTTGAATTCATATTATTTTTGTTATTTTAGATAACTTATGTATTTGATTTTTTTTTATCGTTTAAAATATTTATTACACAATTCATTTTTATTTAGACATGAGGTTAAAATGATAATTTTTAGAGTGAATTGTAGATTTGATCCTTGTGATATTCAATTTGTTTTGGTCATGTTCCATCTGTTAACTCCGTTAGATCAAGGGCCATTTTAGCATTTTACTTTTTTTTTTGTCTTTTTCCTATAAAAAATGAAAAACAATATTTGTTCATGTAGACTTATATATATATATATATATATATATATATATATATATATATATATATATATATATATATATAGGGTCAGATTCATGGGAAAACTGTAAAAAGTGAAAAACTAAAAAAACACTTTAATAACCATCAATTAGTTGTAACCAACGACTATTAATAAATAGCAATTTTAACATTTTATTAAATAGAAAAGGGCAAAATGGTACATTTTGTTAATGGATAATCATTTCAATTTATTAAAAATCCCTCAAATAAAATAAAATTACCATAATTTATAGAAACGTTCATTTATCATCTTAAAAAATCTACAAAAAATATTTAAATAATCTACGAAAAAAAAATTATTCCCCAATCTACAAAAAAATATTCCATAACTGATTACTTCATTAGCGCTGCATGCACATGTGAATGAATCACCGTCTTCATCATCTTTCGATTTTTGGGCTGCATGGATCGGTGAATGAATCTTCATATTCATCGTCTTTAAATTTTTTAGTTGTATACACATGCGAGTTAGTCGCCGTATTCACCCTCATTCATTTTACCGGGTTGTATACATGTGTGAATGAGTCGTTGTATTCACTACCCTTCATTTTTTAGGTAATATGCACATGTGAATGAATCACAATATTAAATGTCCTTCAATTTTATGGGATGAATGAATATGTGATTGAGACACGTTCAATGTATTTTTCTTGAGTAGTGCGAAAATGCGAACGAGAAATCATATTCACGTTTGCATAAAACCCAAAAAAACCAGAGTAGAGAGAGATATAGATGAATGCTTGAATTCATCTCGTGTATTTACGTGTGTAAAAATAAATATTTGCAAAGATGAACAGTTGAATCAAAGGCCTGAATGAAAATGACAATACTTGTAAATAAAAGGGAAGTTAATGTTATTTAAGTAAGCTTAAAAATGGCATACTTGTATCCACGTATGCATAAAACCCCAGAAAACACATATTTGCAGAGATGAACAACTGAATCAAATTTCAGCATTGCATAAAATGAAAACGATGAACATGTGTTACATGTACATGTGCATACAGTCGTGAACATTTAGATTTAACATTCCCTTTTTCATCATGAAACTCTAACATCTGCTTCTTCTTTGACCTCTATCCCAACAAATGCCACTGCTCCTGCATCTTCTTCTCCATTTGAGCCTTTTATGCCCAAGAAATTTAGAGGTCATCTCCATTTGATATATATATATATATATATATATATATATATATATATATAGGGGCCTAATCAAATGAGAACTAATTAGTTTGTGGCAACTGTGAGAACCAATATTAACCACAAATCAATAGATAAATTA